TAGTTACACGAATTCAGATATAGAGCTTTAATAAGTTGTACTTATGCACAATTTTGTCAGTCTTTGAAGTTTCCTTTCTCTAAAAACCAAGGATGGAGCTAGAATGTGGAGTACGGACTTATCATGCTTCCCTACTTGTAATATTAAGTTTTAAGTAATATGTATTAATAAACAGTACTTTACGCATAAAAAGTGGTTTTGTAAGAGTTTTTGTCAAATGCTTTATAATATAGTGTGTATATATATATATATATATAGATTCATTGCGGCTCATTTACGAAAGAACTAATTAGTTTGCAAGAACTGTAAGATCCAATGTAAATCATTCGTTTGAAATATGTAAGGATAATTTTTAAATAAGCTAAAAGGGCAATATCGTAATTCTATTTTTGACAATTAATCAAAATATTTAGTTAAATTTTTTAGAACGAAATATTTAATAAAATTAGTTACCTAGTATACATTGTATTTTAAAGATGTTTATGAATCAAAGTATATCATATTGATAACGTTCACAATGTTTTACGTGTATCACAATGCATTTTCTTTGTTTTATAAAATATATCATAGTATGCATTTTCGTTATTTTCATTGTTTTACAAAGGGTATCAGATTGTGCATCTTGTATGTATATATGGGTATCACAGGGAATATCGTTTTGTAAGTATCACAATGTGTATCTTGTGTTCACATAAGGTTCATCGGAATAAGGTTTGCCAAATAAGATTCGCCGAAGAGAGGAAAGAGAAGAGATGAGAGGGGATATTTATAAAATCTCTAAAATGTCGTTACATTACGTGAATGTATGAGACACGTGACACACTCTTCTTTACTCTTGATTTTAAATGGAACTTGAGATTGCAATTGAACTTGTCTCTGTATATACACAAATAATCAAATTAACGTGACATGCTGATTTAAAACAAAAAACCGAAACAAGTAAATGTGAATATCACTGAATTTACTATATGATAGATAAAGAACCAATCAGACTGTGTTTTCACCGTTCTGAATTAAGACGTTAGTTTAGATATTTTTAATCACGTGTAAAATTACATGTGATTCATGCAACTTCGGCCGGCGACCTCAGGTTGTGGGCCAAGTCGCCCGCATGTCCTTGAGTTGACTGTTAGTGTAAAATCATATGTAATTTTGCACGTGATTTGATTGTTTTCGTATTCTTTTATTTAATTAATATTTTCGATTTCTCTCCTTATGTTGCTATACTGTAAAAGTGTCATTTAAGTTGTTTTATCATCTCGACAACATCTAAATCTTATCAATATTATTTTGTTTTTAGAAAACTAGAAGGGTACTCACATAATGTAGCGGTATATACCTCGATTTTAATGTATTTTTTTTTGTCTTAGTCGATGTTATAAGACAGTTTTATGTGGTTTTGAGAAAGCGATAATATATTTTTTGAATAAAATATAAATATGAATATATATCATAAAAATTTGAAAAAAAATTATTGATATTAGTACCAAACTATCTATTTAAAATTTCTCTTTTTTTTGTGTATTTCTTTAATTATTTTTTTTATTTTTGGTTTAGAAATGTAATATTTTTTAATAAAGATAATAATTAAGCATTTTATTAGAGTTCCATATTTATCTTAATTATATTTTAATTTTTTATATTTAAAATGAAATATTTATTCTCTATTTGATTATGTTTATCTGCAGTTAGTTACACGAATTCAAACATGGAGTTTTAATAAGTTGTACTTACACATAATTTACTTGTAATTTTAAATTTTAAGTAATATGCATTAATAAACAGTACTTCATACATAAAAAATAGTTTTTAAGAATTTTTGTTAAATGTTTTATAATATAGTATAGATATACAATAATTTATTTTAAAACATTTTTAAAGAGTTCTCATTATTTAAGTGTTTGATGTAATATTTAATTGTTTAATATCAGTATTCAAAAAGGCATGCCATGATATACAATTATCCATCATGACACGATATGATGCAATACGTGTCTCTGCCGTTACAAAATTGTCCATAGCATTTCTGTAAGGTGTGGCTCACGCTAGGGGTGCTCAAAAACCCGACCAACCTGATCAACTCAACCCAACCCAACGCGAAATAATTCAACCCGAAGCAACACGATGTCTAATCGAGTTGTAAAATTGTCAAACCGTTGGTATTGGGTTACTATTATTTGAACTCAACCCAACCCGATGAACCCGATATCCTTTTATTTCTTGGATTTAATATGATTGTTGAATTTTATTAATATATATATTAACAATTACACTATCATGTATGCTCTTCATATACACATATTTTTAATTTATTCACATCTCTATATAACTCATTCGTATATATGTTCAGTAACTGTGAACATAAATATGTAAATTGAGAAAATTAACTGAATATGATATAAGTAACAAGTATGAATATGTTGTATCAAATGGTTGATGATGAAAAAGAAATTATGAGTAGAGAAATAACATATTCAAGATTAGAAAATTATTTTAATGTACCAAAATATCAATCCGACCAACACGTATGGATTTGGGTTGGGTTTCACTTTGGTTTGGGTTGGGTTGTGTTAAAAAATTTCAAACCGTAAATATTGAGTTGAGTTGTTCAAATGTCTTCAACCCGATCAACCCAACCCATGAGCACCCCTAGCTCAGGTTGCCCTTTTTGTAATAGGAAAAATGTGCGCATACATCTTATACTTTAGACGTTACTTCATCATAAATCATAATATATGTTTCTGATATGATGAATGACGTATTTCTCCATCCAATAGAATTTGTCATTTCAATTTCAAATTTCACCAAATATACAACCGAACATGACGTTGACCGAAATGCTGACTTGGTAAGCTAAGAGAGAGACTCTCACCAGGTCGGTAACTAATGTCTGCCTAAACCACACTCTTACCCATTTAGGGGTTGTTTGTTCACCTCTTAATAGTTCCATTAAGAGACAGTCTCTGAATGGTTAAGAGGCGAATCTTGTTTGGCGAAAAAAAAAATCTACCTCTTAATGATTTTGTATCTTGTGCCTCCCTAACCATTTAGCGCCCTAGTTTTGTTGTAAACAAAACCAAACAATTATATTTCATTTTGCACTATATCATGAGAGTCACATAATCATTCTGATCAACACCAAACCATTCAGCAACTACCAAACAGCCCCTTAATGTTTACTGAACTTTAAACCCAGATGGTGACACATACCCAGTAAGAGATTACCTGGTGACAAACGTTTACCAACAATCCATTTTGTTGGTCGGAAATGTTACCTAATAACGTAAGTGAACGTGGTGATAGAAGAACGGGGGATCTTTTTAAACAAAATAAGAAAGCCTTATATCTTGAAATAAATTCAAGTTAATGATGAATCAATGGGCGTTCCAGCTAGGGTGCTCAAAAACCCGACCAACCCGATCAACCCAACCCCAACGCGAAATAACCCAACCCGAAACAACCCATGTCTAATCGAGTTGTAAAATTGTCAAACCGTAGGTATTGGATTGATATTGGGTTACTATTATTTGAACCAAATCCAACCCGATGAACCTGATATCCTTTTATATCTTGAATTTAATATGATTGTTGAATTTCTATTAATATATACATTAGACAATTACACTATCATGTATACTTTTCATATACACATATTTTCAATCTATTCATATCTCTATATAACTCATTCATATATATGTTCAGTAACTGTGAACATATATATGTAAATTGAGAAAATTAACTGAATGTAATATACGTAAGAAATATGAATATGATGTATCAAATGGTTGATGATGAAGAAGAAATTATGAGGAGAGAAATAATATATTCAAGGTTAGAAGAATATTTTAATATACCAAAGTATCAACCCGACTAACCCGTACGGGTTGGGTTGGGTTGCACTTTGGTTAGGGTTAGGTTAAGATTTTTCCAAACAGCAAGCATTGGGTTGAGTTGTTCAAATGTTTTCAACCCGATCAACCCAACCCAACCCAACCCACGAGCACCCCTAGTTCCAGCGGGCGTTATTCACGTCTTCCACAACAACCCTTTAAAGGAAGGGCCGAACAAATCTTGCCTATAAACGCTTATCTTGTAATCATTTCACAAACACAAAACTATGCTTAACTCGAGGAATTCAGCTTCGTAACAAAGCCGAGTCGTTCCTAGCCTAACCATACAAGCATACATTTCTTTTCACGCTGAACGTGTTCATAGATCATACAATCAAAATAAAATTACTGAGCTCGAGTTATCGATCTCGAATTTGAGCCTATAAACGAGCTTATAAAGCTTAAATTTTATAAAGAAAAGATGTACTCTTTTACTTTAACATGTTCCTAAAACAAACTCCATCAAGAACACTAGTTATATATTTACATACTCTCAAATCTATAGCTACAACCAAATATACCATCAAAGCTACCATCATCTCTTTTTCTAGAAAAAACGTGTAAAACGACGCATACTCTATTACTCGTAAAGAAAAAGATTACGAGTTTGATGGTAAGTTACGTGGTCTCAGTGTATCTACTCGTTCAATATCATACAGAACACAAAGCCACCAATCTACCCAAAAACCGAACATATTACCTTTGAAGATATGTTGTTTCCGATTATTTGATGTCACTTGCAGATTTCTGAGTTTGCCCAAATGGAAATCATGCCCTCTTTATCATGATCCAAAGCTGTCCTCAATAACTCCTGTATGCAAGCATTTAAATCATCAAAAGATGAGAAAATTGCAGCTAAAAGAACCCTGTCACAAGGTCATTTAACCGAAGGACCCGACTTTACACCTCAGAAAGGTCTTCAAACCATTCTGAGTTCCTACTCTACGTTGGGATTCACTGTGTTCATTTGATTTGGTTTATTGTTGTATGCACCAACTGTAATTTTCAAGAGAGTTGTAAATTTGCATATAGATCTATTTCTTGTATCTTTCTTGATGCATATAAACATATGCATGATCACCAATGGCAGAAACTATATAACATAATATCCACAAAACTTATAGCATTGTGACATTGAAGACTTACATATTAATGCAAACTTGGAGTGATCCAAATGGGAGGTGGCCATCTTCGTCCATTGTAGAACTTTCGTGGATAACACGGCAAAGCAACAACGCTACCATCTTCCAAATCATAAACACCCAAATCATGATCCCCATTAGCACCATCATAATTCCACTCCGAATAATCATCTGTAAAATAAATCCGATTCCCTTTACAACCTTGAAAATCAGAAGCACGAAATGCCATCGAAGAGTTCTCGCCAACAAACAAAGCCCATTCGTCCAATTTACTAACAATCTCCCATATTGGTCCATTCAAAACCAGTTTACAAACTCGAAATTCAGTCGTTTTGTAAAAGATGTCAAGTTGATGCTGATCAACATCGAATCCCAACTCCAAATATCGTGTGACTAACAACAATTCATCCTCTAAACTAACCAAATACTGCATATCTCCACCAACTTGTGGTGGTGTGGGGATGAAAGAAACGTCGGGCAAAGGTCCAGAAATGTCACAAACTGCAATGGTTCCATATTTACTCACAGCATAAAAACAACCCTTATGATAGACTACATCTTCACAGTAAGATTGAGCATTATCTATAAATTTCCATAAACTATCACCCTTTTTACAGTAAGCAAGATCACCTGTTTGATTCAGAATCGCAAGAGCAAAGTAATCTGAATCTTCATCAGAAGGACTGGAAGAAAAAACAACCTTCTTGATGAAAGAATCACGCATTTCTTTCAAATTGCAGGTATAAACATCACCATCTGAAGTTTTGAGTGTGTATTCTCTTCCAACATCAAAGAAATTGAACTTTGTGACATTAGGAAACGAAGATAATGGTGGTAGGTGGTGTTTTACCCTTGTTAATGGATTTATAAGAAAAACCGCTGGGGTTTCTTCGAGGATTACAAGCCAACCATGAGAAGATCCACATCGGCGACGGATGTTAGAAGCTTCTGGAAGACTGAGGCGGTGGATCTTGTTATCGGAAAGGCTGAAAAACGATCGGAGATGCGATTGACGATTCTGATTGCTGCTTTGAGGAAGCATCAGCCATGGGAGTTGACATGGAAGATGTTTTGGGGTTTTAGTGGTTGATCTTCGCCAATTCGAACAAACAGCTCTGAACCGTACGTAATCCTTATGAACTCTGAGTTTCTTCCCGATTGCTTCGATCAGTTCCGGTTGTAACTCCGACCAATCCACCGTCGTCGACATTTTTCTCTACCTAAAATTCCTTATCTTTCAAGGGTTTCATCCTTTTCCCCCCAAAAAAAGGGGGAAATCGATCAAAATCAGATTCCAACACCGCCTTTCGATTATCTGCGACTTTAGCGATGAATTGAAGATAAAACCAATCGGTTGATATGCAATTCTCCAAGGAGACGTAGATGAAAAGTGTGCAGACCGTCACGAACGCGAAGAATCGATCATGGCTGCAAAAATCAATAAGAAAAATTGGAGATTTGCAGGACGAAAGGAAGAAAACCAAGAGACTATGAACAAGAATCAGAATGGGAAATATCTTTATGGATAAGAATATTTCACCAAATTTCTACTTTTATATATTATGAAATTACATTTTTGGTCCTTCATCTATGACTGTTTCTTATATTGGTCCCTACATTTCGTAAAGTACAATCATGGGCCATTTCACATGTTTTTCGGTATCAATATAGTCCCTCCAGTTAACACCGTTAACATCTCTCTGTTAAATATATCATGTGAAGGGGTAATTTAGTCTTTTTACCCTATCTTTTTTATTTTTGTTAAAGATAAAAGTAAAATGGTTATATCACTCCAAAAAAAATGTTAGAACTTGTCCCTGCATTTTCAAATCCCCAAAATCACCGCTCCTTCCCTCTCTTTTCTCTCGTCGAACCCCGCCTTCAACCATTCACGACCATCGATCTCCTTTCCATCATACACCACTAGCCCACCACGTGATGTTGCAGCCCTTTTCTCGCGATGCTCTCTTTATCAGTGTTGTTGTCCACCATCAATACCCCAAATGTCAACCAGCACTTCCACTGGGACTGCTATCCACCATCAAGATCTGAATAAACCCCTCCCTTCCAATGAACACGTTCAGAATTTGAAGCACTGGCGGGATGCTCTTCTAGAGTTTTCTTCACCTGGGAAGAGTGGGACTTCTTCTTTCTTTGACAATAGGATGATCGATTTATGATCAAAACTGTGAAAAAGTCTAAAATTAAGGTTGGTTTTTTGAACCATTTATGTCATACAATCTTTGATTTCATGAATGGATTTGTACAAGTTTTTATAGGTTTTTATTTTTTTATATTCTATGTATCACAAATCTCATAAATGAATCTGATTTTTTATGTGAATATGATATGTTTTAAGTTTGAATCTAATCAGGTTTGAATACTTTTATATGAATACTTAAATAAGAATTTTTGTATTTTCGACAGATTACTAGCGGCCATGGGAATCCGCTGATAGTCCGTCGGAAATCTTAAAAATAATTTTTTTAACTGGCATCTCACCGGAAATATAAAAATTCTTATTTTAAGAAATTTTCAAAAAAAAATATTTTTTTTTAAATTTACAGTGGATTCCCGTGGCCATTAGTGATCCCCCGGAAATTTTAAAAAAAATTCAAAAAATATAAATGTTTTTCTAATTTCAATCGGTTTTTGCGGTCTATCGATTTTTTAAACACGAGAAGAAAAGTGAGATTCCAAGATGTATTAAGGAGTAAGTCTACACGGGCCCATATATATCGAGAAGAAATGGTTCAAAAATTATCGAGATGGGACTCTTAATAGTGGGAAAAGTTAGTGGTTGTTTGGCAGTTGTTGAATGGTTTGGTTCATAATGATTAAGAGGTTTTCATGATATAATGTAAAATGAAATATAATTGTTTGGTAATTGTTTACAATGAAATCAGGACACTTAATGGTTAAGGGAGACTCAGAATACAAAATCATTCAGAGGATTTTAGAACCATTAAGAGGCAGACTTTTTTTTTGCCAAACAAGATTCACCTCTTAATGATTCAGATGTTGTCTCTTAATGAAACTATTAAGAAGTAAACAAACAACCCCAACAAACAAACGAACATTAAATGATACATGCATAACCCAACAAACAAACGATTCAGACATGGATTGAACCATTCAGCGCATCAGAAAATTTACCAAGCAAGCTTTAGTTTGTCCATAAATAATAAATTAGAGGTTGTTTCTAAAACCATTAAGGGGCCATTTATCAAACACTTACCCAGTAAGCGTTTATCGATAAAATGTAACACCATCATTTACTTACCGAGTAAGATTTTAGTCCACCAAAACGATATCGTATGCAACAATTTACCCGGTAAGCGCTTACCGTGGTAAGAGTCGTCACCCTCACTTACCGGGTAAGACTCTTAATCTTTGTCTCGCTCTTACCTAGTAAAATTCTTGTATCTTATCATATTCATATGGTAAAGTACTCTGACTTTGTGTTCACTTACCCGAATAAGCGTTTGGTAAACGACCCCTAAGTAAACAAACAGTCTCAGTCAACTTGTCATCGTCATCATTTGTGGATTATCTACAAAAGTTTGTTAAAAGAATTGATACTTAATAACATAATACAGCTTTAATGACAACTAATTAATTGCTGATTAAGCCTTTCAACTTTTAGTAAACATGCACCGGAAACACATGGGTATGAGTTGTCACACAACACCTTATGTTAATGCTTAATTATTAAGTTTTAGTGTATTAGTAATTTGTACGGAATGCTTTATAAACGTTGTGGCGGTTGCGGCATGTGGTGGAGTAGTGGCGATGGCGGCGACAACAACAGTGAAGGTTTGAAGTCCGAAGGTAACGGGTAGACGGGTTTTTTTTTGGGTGGTGATGGAATGATGAAAACCCATTAACAATAGAATCTATGGAATTCAATTCCATTCCGTTTACAAACCAACACTTGAATGGAATTTAGTCGACTGTCGTTTCAATTCCTTCATATTCCATCTAAACCAAACGGGAGCTTGGGCCTTTTTTTCTCGATTCACCATCTTGTTCGATGATTTACGTCTTTATTCCTTTATAACAAAATTGAGAACCGCAAGAACCGAACGAATTAAACCATTCGAATGGACTTGCAACATGAAAAACGATGTCAAAAAACGTTACTTCTGGTATTTATATACACATCATGTATTCTACCATGTAACAACAAGAAGTCTGAACCTCAATCTCAAAGTGTTAAACGGCCAACTATAGACCTAATGGGTTCTTCAAGAAACAGAGGTTTACTTCACCTGAGATTAAATGTTGTTTTCGATCAGTTTGCACAAGCCATCCAGTTTGACGGAAGCCGATTCGAGGTCAGAGTCGGCATGTTACGGACGTTGATGTCAACCGGCAGCATTCGGTACTCGATATCGAGTTCCCGGAAGATTCTAATCATCTCCTCAACTAAAAGCGCTCTTCGTTGCCACCTTTCTCCCATATCTTGGAAGTTCATACGGTGTGAAAGCCATATCGATATCTTTAGCCGATTCAAGTCCTCGATGTCCCTCACCACGATCAAAGGTGCAGGGTACCAATGATCGCTCTTGTTCTCGATGTAGCTGCAATCACAACAACACGTTACTGATTGTATGTTTTGCATGATTTGATAATCGCAAATGAGATTATTAGAATGAGTGGTAGTCTGGTGTTCGACTGACTCCAGAAAGACGAGTAACGACACATACCTTGTTATCTTCTCCTTCATCTGAGCAACCCTTTCTACAGGAGTTGATACATGTATACAGAAATCGACAGCATCTCCCATATCTGGACTACGATAGTAATTAGCAATGGGTTTCGTGGCCAAGACGCTGTTAGGATATATAATTTTCTGGTTATCGAACCTCAAGAAAACCGTTGTTAATATATTCATCTCCTCAACTATCATCTACAATCAGCACAATTAATAATCAGAACCATGAGAAGAAAAAAGTCGACGAAATTATAGAGAGAGAGACAGTCAAGTTCACACAAGAAGACTAACCAAATAAGAGAGAACAGTCAAATCACATGTGATTTTACACTAAAATCATGTGTTTAATCACATGCCATGTGATTTTGCACGTGGTTTGGCCGTTATCGTGTTCTTTTATTTGGTTACTATCCGTTGTTTTTTGAACCTCCCTAAGTATGTGTGTGTGTTTGATAATACGTGTCTAGTTGACATGGGACTCCAACAGAAATTATTACCTGAACACCGTCAACTTCACAACGATCGCCGACATCAAATGGATGCATTACGAACAAGAAAATAATGGCTTCGAATGTAGTCTTACATGTGTTACCAAACACGAAAACTACCAAAAGCAGCTGTGAGCTTAGGAATATAAAGAAATGTGTGGTTGCAACTTTGAGTATAAGAAGCCAGATGACGATTATTATGATCGCCACGACTACATTCAACATCTGATGGAGTTTGTTTACGGCTGTTTTTGTGTCGTTGAGAGACAATGCAAGAGCCCTCCGTTCTCGGAATACGTTAACCTGGAAAGACACAGTTTCAGAAATCCAAAAACCTAATCATTGTTGACTATGTAATTAAATCGACCATCAGAAAGAAAAACACTCGTACCACCCAGTTTTTGAGCGCTCGTTTGCTGATTCCTTTTGTTTCACTTTCACTATCAAAGAGTCGTATTGCCTTCAACGCTTCATCATCTCTCAGGAAACGCTGCAAATCCGTTAGATAAATGTGCCTGTCCAAACAAAAAATAAGATATGGTGAAAAGATTATTCAAATGATGATTAATTTCAACTTAACATGACAAGTTGCAAATGTCGGGGGGTTTTGACAAAAAGAGCATGATCTTAATGGTGAACAATATTCAAGAATATCTAGGCATATTCATCGTGAATAATTCATGAATAGTTGGTTCTCAAGATATTTTTGGTTCCTAACAGAACTTTCTCCTCAGATATTTACAGTTCCTAAATGAACTTATGAGTCGTGCCCCTAACTTAACGAGTAAGCTAAAGATGCTCTCTACAACACAAACATGAGTACCACTACGAAATTGATTAAAGCATGATTAAGAACTTACTTGGACCCTCGTTTAGCAACATTGCAGAAGATTTTCTTCGCTGCAACCTTAGCCTGCTTCTCACTCGTGATCTGAACCGAAGACTCATCTTCATCCCCTGTTGTACCTTCGAGTTGCTCATCTAAAGTCGATAATACCCCTGTTCGAACAATATTCATCAACCGTTTCATATTCCAGGCCGATATATTCTTCTGATTTAGCCTATGCAAGTGATCAATCGTAATCCCTTCATCAGGCTTCTTAGGGGTATTAACTTCTGAAAATTTGCCACTTTTACCAGCCATGGGAGTACTAGTTCTTGGAGTTCCAATAAACCTTCCACTTTTCTTGAATATATTCGCCTTCAAATCAGGCGGTAAAGTGGCCCCGGCATTCTGAAGCTTTTGAACTTCAGCAATCATCCGGTCTTCCTCCTCCCGTTCTTGCTGAATCTCAATCAACGGTGGGCCAGAGAGCGTCTCGATTACAAACTGGTTGAATAAAGATTCTTGAATCCGGTCAAAAAAGGTGCTCACGTGAAAAGATGAAGCAAGAACCTTCACGAGCAAAGTTTTCAAGAGCCAAACTAATGTACCCACCAAAAGGCAAATCCAAATCTTGGTCACATATGGCAAGACTTTCCCATGTGTCATCCGTTCGACTTTCTGATCGAATATACATTGCCAAGCAATCAAAACTAAAGCTAACCAAACACAATTTTGAACTGCTTTCCTTAATCCGTAAACGAAATAAAGAACCCTTTTTCGCAGCAAGAAGTTCCGTTCTACCAAAATTACCAAAACCCTAATCCCCCAACCAGAAAACAATCTTCCACAGATCAAAACCAGTATCATAACCCCCCATTTCCATAATTCAAGATCATACAATTGTTTGTGCTTGAAATAAGGGATTGTGAGTGTAGAAACTAAAGCAGCAACAATTAAGATTAAACTAAACAATTGAAGTAAAGTCCATTTGCTATACCTCAACTCCTTAAACTCATCAGGTAGATCATCATCTAAGAACGGATCATCTTCATCGATGTCACTACCAACTCTCCCTAAAACCCCTGATTTGGAAAACCTACCCGATTTCTGATCTGTATCCGGCGGATCTTGTAATCTGGATTTGGTTTTCGTCCGCATCAAGGTCGATTTTCTCCTAAATGAAGCATTAGCGGAGCAAACGACCACCTCTTCTCCGCCACAAGCACCGCTGTTACGACCGCTACCATGGGACCGCAGCCGTACAGGTTGCGGCTCGACCACCTCATCATGAAACGAAACCCTAACTTCCTTCGGCGTAAGCATGCCGTAGTTATTTGGACTCTCCGGTATCCTTGATAACGCCGGAGACTGCTGTGGCGACGGCGTATCAGACGTTAAGAAATCAAACTTCTCATTATCATTCGTGAAATCGTAGCTCGAATCTCTCCATACCTTATTAGGGTTTTTCTGGTCCGCAACAGGATTAAACTTGCAAGCTGCTAGTTCTGCTTCTTTAGTAGCAGTACCTGCAACATTGCCGTTTGTTCCCTTCCCGAGGTCTCTCCGGCGTTCACCGGAATCCGGCGGCGACGGAGACGAACGCATAGCAGAAACAGTACCGATTGACGGAATTTGATCAATGGCGTAATCGTCTAGATGAAGCAGGATTTGCTTTTCTTCAGGTTCTATCTCTGATTCCTTTTGCGATGATCTATTGAAAGATTTTCTGAATTTATCCATGAATGTGAAAGGGTTTGAAGGATTTAAATCAAAAGTTTCAGATTAAATTATTATTCTGGAATGGACAGTTCACATAGCAGGTGATGAATCATCAGAGGTAAAGCACCTAATAAATTTAAAATAGGACAACGCAGATTTGTCGAAGGAGATAACCCCTCAACTTTATGTTGTATTACACTTTCAACCCTCATAAAACAGTTAAAGTTTCAAAACAAACCCTGATTTCTATTTTCTTCATAAACTTAAGTTTTCTAATTATAACACTTTTTTATTATTATTAATCAGAAAACATAAGTTTATGAAGAAAATATAAATCAGGGTTTATTTTTTATTATAATACTTTTAATCTTATTGCAAATCGATGATGAAACTTATCAATACATTACCAATGTTTAATTCAGGTTTTCTTTTATTTGGGTATACAGTTTTGTAACAAAAAAATGCACACTACAGTAACGATTTTTTATATGCAGAACCTAAATATACTGATGGGAATATAAATGAGATGTTAGATTATGTTAAAACATATGACTTTAATATCATGTTTATATTTTTCTTCTGGAATAACGATTAAAAAACATGAAATAAGATGTTTAGAAATAGGGATGGTAATGGGGCGGGGACTCCAATCCTCTTCCTCGTCCCAGATCTCCGATCTTTGTCCCCGTCCCCATCCCTACCGGGAATTTAATCACATCCACATCCTCATCCCCATCCTCATCTCTAACGGGGAAACGGGGTTTTTTTTTCTTGTTTGTGTAAAAAAAATTAAATCAAATGTGTGAGACACTACACATGATTAAATCTCATATTTTTTCAATAAACTTAAAATCAAAAGAAATTTAATTTAATACAAAAAATAAACATCATCATATGATAATTAATAAATCGAAAAAAAAATTAATCCAAAAAAAATTAACGTCACATGTACCAAAACATATTGAATAATATCCAAAACCAGATATAGTAATATCCAAATATATTGTAATAGAAATTATCATTTACCGATTTAATAGAAATAAATAACATAATTTATTAATTAATATATATACGGGTACGGGGCAGGGAGTGTGATACCCATCCCCGTCCTCATCCCCGGTTTGAGCCAAACGGGGATCCCCATCCCCGAGACCCGGTTTAACGGAGAATCCCCGTCCCCATCCGGAAAGGGTGGACCGGGTTCCCCGATAGGTCGGGGCCAATTTCCATGCCTATTTAGAAATGCATTTGTAAAGCGATTATTGCCATCATCATAAACCATAATCAGATGATTAGATAATCCTTTTCGATATATTAAATGTATGTCGATAGTTAATGAGTGTTATAAATAAAAGGGACCTTTTTTGCACCAATGGCATTTATCAGGGTTCAAAACTTTAATTACAAAAGGTAATAAAAAGATCAGGGGATTTCTGTATGCTCCGATCCGGACCGTACAGCTGTCCGTTAGCAATTTGCTTGTCAGGAAGCAGCGTTTGTGAAACACCGCCCGTCGCAAAGCAATTGCACGTCTTCTACATGCCAAAAAGGTGGTAGACTGTTATAAAGCATCTCCATTAACTTTTTTATAATTTTTTTAAATTTAAAATTTAAAAAATCATTATAATAATATATCTAAATTATATTATATATATATATATATGGTATATTTCATATGCAACCATGTTCATTTGTACAATCAATGCAACTCAATCAATTAAGATATTTATAGAAATAATAAGAGTTCATTTATTATAATTTAAATATTTATGGAAAAAGACTAAATTTTATTAATTATGATGAATACTTTATATTAGGAACAATCAAAGTTTTTATGAAATCACATATTCATCAAATTAAATGGACGGTTGAGATTGAATTGTATTATTATACAAATGTAAAAGGTTGGATAATAACTCATATATATATATATAGGGGCCTATTCAAGGGAGAACTGAGTTGTTTGTGGTAACTGTGAGAACCAATATTAACCACAAATCAATAGATAAATTAGGAAATTTATAAATTTGGTAATTTTAAATTAAAATCTTAATGTAAGGATATTTTTAGTATTTTAAAACTCTCTTCTCTCCTCTCTTCTCTCTCCGGCCACCGTCATCCGGTGATACCACTATGATACCACTGTGATACCTAAAAATATTGACTTTGTTAAACAAAAGATACATTGTGATACCTAATCATATATAAGATGCATAGTGATATCACTGTGTTACATCTTCGATCGACCACACAAACGACATCAATGTGATACCCAAGTACATATATGATGCATTGTGATACCATTGTAGTATCACCGGATGACGGTGGCCGGAGAGAGAAGAGAGGAGGGAGGAAAGTTTTAAAATACCAAAAATATCCTTACATTAAAATTTTAATTCAAAATTGCCAAAATTATAAATTTCCTGTTTATCAATTGATTTGTGGTTTATATTGGTTCTCACAGTTAGCACAAACTAATTAGTTCTCATTTGATTAGGCCCCTATATATATATATATATATATATATATATATATATATAATCTGGGATAATTTCATATGTTATTCATAACTAGAGATAGCCAAATGGGCCCGGTTCGTAACCGTCGGAGGACCGGAACCGGGACCGGTTGTGGACCGCCGGTTATGAACCGGTTATGGATTTTAACGTTTTCTAGGACCGAGACCGGTTAAGACCGGGACCGGTTATAGGACCGGACCGGCCGACCCGACCCGGTCAACAAAAGTCAACGTGTGTGTGTGTATATATATATATATATATAACAAAACATATTTTTAAACGTATTTATAAAATTAAACGTATATATATATAACAAAACATATTTTTAAACGTATTTATATAAATCATATTAAAAATAACACATATTACAAACAATATTAATAACATATTAAAATTTTATTAATAAACAAAAATTTGAAAAAAAAAAAAAATTTGGTCGGAACCGGATGGGACCGGTTATGGGACCGGAACCAGGACCGAATTCCTTAACCGATTACCGGTAAGCTTGACCGGTTACAAGGTATTTCATCGGGACCGGAACCGGTTATGGCAAAACCAGTTACCGCCGATTTTTATCTTGATTAGGACCGGTAGGGACCGGTTAAGAACCGGATTTTGGCCATCTCTATTCATAACTATGAAAACTTTTATTTTAAAATATTATTTTTTATTACTTAATGTTATTAATGTATTAATGAATGTTATATTTATTTTATAATATATTTATTTCATATGTATTTTGTTCATGATGTGAAACTTTGTAAGTTTATATACGCATGCTAAAAAAGTTCACATAGTGAACCAGTATATGTAAAATCAGTATTCTAAGTCATAGTTTTAAATGTAAAAAAGTCATATAAAATAGCACAGTATGCACCAGTTCTCAAGATTACTATAATTTCATGGGTTTTCAAAAGAATGTTCGTTTATAATAATCATCAATATAAAAATTAGACGAAAATTAAAAAAAAATTTAAGTAATTATATTTATAATGTAAATTACATAGAAATTGTTTGAAACTTAATAATAAAAACAGTTTTATCTGTCATTTCAATTTTCTTAGATAGAACGATATATGTGAAAACAAACCCATGAAAATCAACCAAAAATTTATCAAATGAGTTTGAGAATAAGTTATAATTCATATTGTTTCATATGTTTTGTTCTTGTCTGTAATTATGACTGTGTTTTGTTCTTTTTATTAACCTGAATATCTAACCCGCTATGCGAGCCGACTAATCTCAGGGCGACCACCTGCTTTGTAGATAGACCGGAGTAACCGCATTTGAGCCTCCGTGACCACAAGAGAATTTTTATTCCTCTTTGGATTTAAACCTGGGACCTGCCGGTACTTTTGACATTTAGAGACAAGTTCAAACCAATCAAACGCCACCCTTTGTGGACTGTGTTTTTTATGCGTAAACTTATTTCATTGTTTTTTAGCACATAACACGTTTTGTTTCACATGAAACACACTGTATGCACGTTATATGTTCTTATGTTGTTTCATCTGTAAAATAATACATAAAACCTTATTTTATATGATCTGTTTTCTCTATATATATTACATAAATTTAAGCAAAATATGTATTTTGAAATAAGTATATTCATAATTCCCTATACACTAAAAAACAGTTCCTCAAATATTAAAATATATACTTACAGTTCTCATCTAATCTGTATATATAACGTGAACAAATACATTTGTATTATCTTTCTTCAGTTACGTCTACACACTTAGCTATAAGAATATCTCTTATTTTTAGTAACAGCCCCCGGCCCAGATTCTGGTGGGTACGGGGATTAACATCTCGTCCCCGGCTAAAACCCTGTCAAAACCCGATCAAACCCCATGAAAAATATTTGTTAGTTTGAGTTTATTGGAGATCCCTGACCCTGGGACCCGTTTTAGTGGAAAATCTCCGTCCCCGTTCAAGTCGGGTGAGTCGGGTTCCCCACATGGTCGGAGCAAATCACCATCCTTATCCTAGTCAGCCGAACCCTCGCCCCTCGTTGTCACCCTTTGTCTCACTATCCATCACGGAAGTCAAAAAACCCACCCAAGAAATCTTAAACCGATATACTAGAACTTCGAAGCATCAGTGATGTCAAATTCGAACAAAAATATTAAATTCTCATTGCAATAATAAATGTAAGACAGTGACGAGACAAAGGCTAGAGTACAATGAGGAGAGAGGAGATTCGGTACGTTTTTGTTACTCGTGAAATGGATGGACAGAATTTGATCAGTCTGTGAAATATAGCTTTTAAATGAATTTTTTAATACATACATATCATTAATTTAATTAATTGTTTTAAGATTAATATAAATAAATACTTACATGTATTTAATTAATTCAGCTATTTTTTTTAATAACTTAATGATTTATAATTTTTTTTAATATTCGGGTTTATTTCGGATAAATTTTTTAATATTAATTTCAATTATAATAAGTTTAAATAATTGAAAAATAATTTTTATATGCCAAAAGAAGGTGTGAATTGCCAAACCTTTGTCGAGGTATGATGTCGACCACT